CAGGTGATCTGCCCACCTTGACCTCCCAAAGTGCTGGGATTACAGGTGTGAGCCACCACGCCCTGCCGACAATAATTTTTAAAGCAACTACTCTGTACCAAGAAGTATTCTAGGGGTAGAGCAGATTATTTCACCTTAGTCCAGAATCTAGCCCTCAGCTACTTCGATGTAGAAAATCTTATTGTTCATATATTCAGAGATCATCAGACTTTTAATGACAAACTACCTATAATTAACTGTATAATTAAAATAACTGGAAAATGCTAAGTCATTCATTTCCAGAGTGATTTCAAATACCCCTAGCTGGGTTTGCCTCTAAAAGTTGTGGGGTCAGAGCAAGAGTATAAATGGAGGCCCATGTATTATAGGTTTAAATATTTAAAAGTTTGAAATCTTGCTAACAGACTGTACATATATGTGTGTGTGTGTATAGATAGATAGATAGATAGATAGATAGATAGATAGATAGATAGATAGATAGATAGATAGATATACACACATACACATACACACACACATCCTATCTTCCTAACTTGACAAATATATCTTGTTAATTACCTAGGAGGTCAAGTGGTTTGGAGTTCTTTGCAGGAAAGGTGGTGGTGAGCAGAGCCCCTTCTCTGTTCCCCACCGCAGGGTGGAACCAGCCTAGACATCCAGGTTCTGCTCACATCCTCCTGCTGCAATCCCTTGCTTGACCACCCCTTGTGCCTAGAGATGTGCAACTCTGCAGTGAGGTTACTCCTGAGAAGGTGGTCATGAGGAAGAGGCCAAACAGACCCCGGAAGCAGACTCAGGAATTTGGGCAGAGAACTTGAGTGTTCTAGAAGGAGGATGGGGGTCTCCATACATGCACCCTGTCTCCTTGGCCCATGGACTCCTCAGAGGAGAAGAGCCAAAGCAGGACCCTTAAAATGGGTCCCAAGGCCATGATTCAGGGCACCCCCTACCGACAGGTGAGGTACTAGAAAGGCAAACAAAATGCTGTTGGGGAATTAGTGGAAAAGGAGGATGGTTCACCAGCTCTAGAGCTGAGGCCTAGTTGACCATCCCTCCTGGCATAGAATACCCCCTGGCCAGAGAAGATACTTGTCCCCCAAATTCAGGTGTGTACCTCCTGTGATGGGGCTGACACAGTTTGCTTCCTCAACAACTCCCTTTTCTCTGAGGCTCAGGGGCTGCAAAGGTTACCTGCAGACTGGGAGATTACACAGGGCTCACCACATAGCTGCTTTAGCTCAGAGCTCAGAGGAGTGCCCTTTTTTTTTTTTTTTAAATTCACATAAAGTGCTATACAAGGTAGCTGAGACCTGCTGCCAACCCATTTCCAACTATACGGACCTGGGCGATTCTCAGAGCTCTGGAGCACCCCTTGTGGTAGGAGAGAGTAAAATACATTTTTTATTTCTTTTTTCCCTTTTAATATTATTATTATTTTTTTATTTGTAGAAATTTATGGGGTACATGTGAAATTTTGTCACATGTGTATAATGCCTATTGATCAAGTCAGGGTATTTAGTGTGCCCATCACCTCAGGACAATACACTTTTGTTAACTATAGTCACCCCATTCTGTTATCAAACATTGAATTTACTCCTTCGATCTAACTGTATGTTTGTGCCCTTTAACCTACTTCTCTTCATCCTCCCTCTCCCACCACTCACCCTTTCCAGTCTCTGTTATCTGTCTTTCCACTCTCCACCTCTATGTGATCAAACTTTTTAGCTCCCACATATAAGTGAGAACGTACAACATTTGTCTTTTTTTGCCTGGCTTGTTTCACTTAAGATAATGACCTCCAGTTCCACCCATGTTGCTGCAAATGATCTTTTATTATTATTATTTATAGTTGACACATAATAATTGTACGTATTTGTGTGCTACAGTGGGATATTTTATTACATGTGTGCCATGTGTTATAATTAAATCAGGGTAATTAGCAAATTCATCACTTAAACATTTATCATTTCTTTGTGTTGGTAACATGCAAAAGTTTTTCTTCTAGTTATTTGTAAAGATTCAGTAAAATTCTCTTAACTGTAGTCACTCTACGGTGCTACAGAACTTTCAATACGAATCCCTGATACCATTTTAGTTCATGAGACTCTCAAAAGTAGAGAAGACCCCAGAAAGCCACCAATAAGTGTTTGGATAATAGACACCTCCATAATCCAAGGGTAAATGGCTTAATTTACTGACCCAACTAGGTCTGTGATGAGAATAGAGTATGTAGTGGTATTGGTGACTCTGTCCTCATTATCTTTGTTTTACAGTCATAATTAATCAAAACCTACCCTCTCACCTTTCTCGTGCTCATGACAAAGAATTACCTGCTCTAAGCAGGAATTAACTGAGGGAGTAGATTGGTAGCGATCCTTCTTTGGAATGTGAGACAAGAAGCTTGGAAATATAGTCAAATGCACTGTTATTCTAAGATATGACAGCAAGAAGCAATTTCAAAATATGCCTCTCTTGTAAACCATTGGGCCTTAATGACACAAGAGTAATTTTTCCATTACTGACAAGAGCAAACAAGTGCAAACAGAGGTGGATGATTTTTCCTGACAGCTGAACCAGGCTTCAGTTAGTATCAGGGAAACTTTCTATTTGAGTTGACCTGTCCGTGCTGCATCAAGTTGGGCCATCGTTTCAACAGATCCAGTGAATAAATCTGGAGGAAATAATGTGCCCAGGACTTGGGTATGATTTCGTTTTGTTTCTGTTTTAGTTCACTACCTGGTACTTACCTCTGCAGCGTGGCTTACCTTTGATGGCCAATCCCAGCCTCTTTTGGGGAATCATCTGTGCAAGATAAGAATAAGGATGAGGGCCCAGTGCAGTGGCTCATGCCTGCAATCCCAGCACTTTGGGAGGCCGAGGAGGGTGAATCACCTAAGGCTGGGGGTTCGAGACCATCCTGACCAACATGGTGAAACCCTGTCTCCACTAAAAGTACAAAATTAACCGGGAATGGTGGCACATGCCTGTAATCCCAGCTACTCAGGAGGCTGAGGCAGGAGAATCGCTTGAACCTGGGAGGTGGAGGTTGTAGTGAGCCGAGATCACACCATTGCACTCCAGCCTGGGCAACAAGAGTGAAACTCTGTCTCAAACAAACAAACAAAAAAAGAATGAGGATGAGGATGAGGACAGCCAGGCTTGGTGGCTCATGCCTGTAATCCCAGCACTTTGGGAGGCCAAGGCAGGTGGATCACCTGAGGTCAGTAGTTCTAAACCAGCCTGGCCAACATGGTGAAACTCCATCTCTACTAAAAATACAAAAATTAGCTGGGCATGGTGGTGCATGCCTGTAATCCCAGCTACTCGGGAGGCTGAGGCAGGAGAATCACTTGAATTTTGGAGGTGGAGGTTGCAATGAACCAGATCATGACACTGTACTCCAGCCTGGGTGACAGAGTGAAACTCCATCTCCAAACAAACGAACAAACAAATAAACAGAATGAGGATGAGGGGAAGCCACAAGAGGGAAGAAGAGGGAAGAGCTAACTGTTTGGATCTAAAGAGAGGCTTTGCAGGGTGAGGACTATCAGCAACTGTAGGGAGATATCTGATACAAATATAACGTCTATTTCCTTAGGCTCCCCAGATACTTTTCGACTCAAGTTCCATGCAGTTTTCTCCCTATGGCCCTCTAACCTCTCTCCATGCTGAGGATGCTCTCCTAACGGTACTTGTATTGTTTGGAAAAAATAAGTATTGTTAATCTGAGTTCAGTCAGGGAAGCAAAACCATGATGAGCTGTAGAGGAAGCGATTTATCATAGGAATTAGTCCTGGCCCCATTGTGAGAGGGATGGGTGATTGGAGGTCCAGGAGGAAATTGGAAGATGGGAGGAGCCACCCACCATCAGTCTGAGAAGCCCAGCACATCCAGCTGTGCAAGTGGAAGGGGAAGCTGGTTGGGGAGACCTATGGGAAGCTGTTCCTACCTCTATGGGTCTGCAGCCAAGTGTCCGGTGGTGGCCCTGGGGCTCCTGTTTGTCAACAGGGTCAGCACTCAGAAAAAAAATCTGGACACAGAGTGAGGGGGAGTGAGGGCAAGCAGGATCCGCTTTCACCTCTACCTCTGTTTGTAACACAACCACCTTTGGAAAGTAACGGCTTTACTCCCACCTCCCATATCTTGTGCAAATTCTTCTTTTGGTCATCTCTAACCCAACGCCTTCAGGGACGGGGATCCTGGGAAATGTGATTCCAGCTTAGCAAGTCAGAACACTACGCACTACCACGCTAGGAAACACAGTGTGGCCACCTGCAGAGCTCCCCCAGCGACTGGCAGGGTACCCAGATGGAGAAGATATAGGATGAATGAATGGTGGAGAGGGATTGGGGAGTCTGAAAAGCATCCTTCGACCAATCAGAGCACGTTTTACTGTCCTGGAGATTGAAATTGAGGAGAAAGCTACTAAGAGTTTTCCTGCTAGGATGGGACAAAAGATATCTTTACTTGGCAAAGGTGAGTTTAGGTGGAGCAGCTGCCTTCCCTCTGAACTGAGGTAACAGTCTGCAGCCAAAGTTTCCATAGCCCTTTGGTGCAGCTAGATTTAAAAAGAACCTTGTTCTCAGAAAGACTGAAGCACATGCATATTTAAAGAGTTCTTTTAACACAGAGTTATCTGAGAGAAAATTACCTTAACACAAATTCCGAAGACTCCACATAGTTAAGATGCACAAATTCATTATCAATGGTGCTGAGAATAGCTCCTTGGAAGGGATAAAATGTTTATTAGAATCAATTAAAGTATGTTTGAGAGATTTATTTTCTCCATCTTTATTCTCCTATTTAAAGAAAGTGCTGAGTTGTATATTAACACTTCAAGGTCTCAGTCACTGTTTGTCTTGAGAAAAAGAGAGAGAAAATGTTTGTCATTCCAGGAGCATAATCAGTTGAGCCAGTGCACAATGACATAGTTAATTCACCAACGGAATTTGTTGCCATAGCTTCAGCGAGGGACAGGGTAGATTAAACAATAGCCTTTTTCACGACTGCAGCTTTCACCACAACCTGCCTGTCCCCACACAACAGGCCATCATAGCACTAGTTCAGAGCACAGCAATTGTCAATGAACAACAGCCCAGAGGGGACAAGAGGAGGCTTGTGGTAAATAAAGCAAGAGTCCCCGGCAACTCAAATCTCTCCTTATTCAATAACTGGGACACTCTGAGCTCCTCCGAGCTTATCTTTGAGCGCTGGGCACAGAGAGCCTGCTTGACCTTTGGTCAAGTGAGCAACAAAAATTTCATCCTGTGACTCAAAAGAACTCCAAAGGGAGGAGGCCTCTACAGAAGATAAAAAGACCAGGAGCAGGCATGGTAGGCCATCAGGAGTGCATCATGGAAGAGGACAATCGCGCTCCGCAGTTGTGGCGCAAGGTAATGTGAATACTTTCTTACTGATTTTTGCCTTATTGAATATCAAAGTCAGTTCAAAAAGTAAAGTCCTATGTATCTGCGAGTGTAATGAATCTGTGCTAATTAGTAGTCGCACTAAAAATGGAAATATTATCTGCTCCATCTTAAGGTGATTTAAAAAAAAAAAGAAAAAGAAAAACAAATTGTGACTAATATTTATTTATCCCCTTGCAGAGTATGTCAGCTCCCTGGATAGACTTAGATGACAAAAACAAATTTGCTTACCAAAAAGAAGGTCAGATCAATATGCTGTGGGAGCCTGAGGGTATTGCAGAAATGTTTTAACAAAATGTTCTTTATCCTATCAAATGAGAAATTCTTCTAGTAGAAACATCACAAAATCCTGATTAGAATATCCATTCCTTTTATTCTGAGATGGAGTTACGCTCTTGCTGCCCAGGCTGGAGTGCAATGGTGCGATCTCGGCTCACTGCAACCTCCGCCTCCCGGATTCAAGCGATTCTCCTGCCTCAGCCTCCTGAGTAGCTGGGACTACAGGCGTGCACCACCATGCCCAGCTAATTTTTGTACTTTTAGTAGAGATGGGATTTCACCATGTTGGCCAGGCTTGTCTCAAACTCCTGACCTCAAGTGAAGACTATCCATTTCTGAATTCAATGTTATGCAACTGTCATGTAAGTGAGACCTCTTTATATGGTCTTTTCTCTTGGGGAGGGGGTGCCCGGGGAACGTGTTTCTAGGGGAGCCTTGTTAAACTGAATGAGTTCTAGATAGAGAAAGTTTAGGCAGTGGGACAAAGTGTTAAGAAGGACCCCAGATGATGTGAAGAAGAGATTGAGGGCCAGAGGCAACTTCCCAACAACGAGGCAGAGGGAATTTCTTCGCTTAACTGTGAAGCTGGTTTCACTCCACTACCCTGAGAATGAACACTGGCCCTGCTCTCTCCTGTCACGGCATCCCGTCAAAAGCTTCTCATGCCCCTTGGAATGGATATGGGTGGCTGGTTTAAGCACCATATTCCTCAGAAAGTAGTCTATGTTCATACCCAGCAGACACTTGAGCTACATGACTGATTGATCATTTTGCCCAGTTGGTCCCTTCCCCAGTTGCCTCCATGTTATCTTAAATTTGGAGAAATTTGTACTGTATATTGAAGACTCATGAGTTTTACTAGCTGATTGTATTGAGTTAATGGGGGAATCAGGAGGCATTGATTGATTGATTCATTCATTCATGCCTCATTTCAAAATTAGATTTGAAGTGGTATCAAAACAACTAGAGTCGGGCCAGCCATGGTAGCTGACACCTGTAATCTCAGCACTTTGGGAGGCCGAGGCAGGCGAATCACTTGAGGTAAGGAGTTCGAAACCAGCCTGACCAACATGGTGAAACCCCCTCTCGACTAAAAATACAAAAAACATTAGCCAGACATGGTGGAAGGTGCCTGTAATCCCAGCTACTTGGGAGGCTGAGGCAGGAGAATTGCTTGAACCCAGGAGGTGGAGGTTACAGTGAGCCAAGATCGCGCCACTGTACTCCAGCCTGGGTGACAGAGTGAGACTCTGTTTCAAAAAAAACAACTAGATTCAGTTCTGGACTGGTGCAGATATGGAAAGTTGAGATGATTCTTCTATGTTCCAGTCATGTAAATTAAATCTGTGCAAATATCATTCCGTATTCCAACACCTTTTGCAAATTGAAAATAGACAAAGGCCTCTAATTTCATGGTCTCCCAAATGTATCACTTATCATCATTATAATAGTTGACATTTTAGGGTGACATGCCCTGGACTAAGTACTTTCCATGCCTTATTTTATGTAATTATATTCAACAAAAGGACTCAAGCTCCTGACCACTTGCCTATGCTGCTAATTTATGCCTTGATTTCTCTATTAAATTGAATAGGCTTATTTAACCTCGTTGGGCAATTAAAATGGATTACATTATTAATGGTAACAATAATAAAGAAGTGATTTCATTAAAATTTTTCTCATGCTTTTCGGTTCTCACTGTACTTTTCTCACACAGGCAGGCTCAACTTCTGTAAATTAAACTTTCTGACTACCAGCCCTTTGTGTACTATACATTGATACCCCCAAGCTGTCACACGACCATTTCTGGTTACTGCTGGTGGTGCTACTTAACAGCCAATAGTTATAAGCATTGCTGCTGAATATTGAATCTGAAAGGTGAAAATAATCATGAACTTAATAATCTTTTATAGCTCTCTGGGGATGGAAACTACCTTTAAATAAGAGAGTTGAGTATTTATTTTCCACATATTTAATTTTGGTACTTGGTTGGTACTTATTTGGAAATAAGAGAATGCCCAAACATTACCTCAATTCCTCTTACCCCAAATACTGTGATGTAGATATTATTTATATTCCTCCCCCCTGCTTTTCTTTTTTGAGACAAGGTCTTACTCTGTTGCCCAGGCTGGAGTTCAGTGGTGCAATCATAGCTCACTGTAACTTCAAACTACTGGGCTCAAGTGGTCCTCTTGCCTCAGCCCCCCAAGGAGCTAAGACTGCAGGCATGCACCACCACACCTGGATGATTTTTAAATATTTTGTAGAGATGGGGGTTTTGCTGTGTTTCTCAGGCTGGTCTTGAACTCTGGCCTCAAGCGATCCTTCCACCTGAACCTCCCAACGCACTGGGATTATAGGTGTGCGCCACTGAGCCCTAGCCTATATTCCCATTTTAAGTGAGAAAATTAAAGCTCACAGAGCTTAATTGTCCAAGATAGCAAGGATAGAGCTGGAATTTGGGTTCCCAGCATCCAATTTCACTTTTTCTTTAAACCTACACTGTTGAACAAGGTAGCCGCTAACCATACACAGCTGTTTAAAATTAATTAATTGGCTGGGTGGGATGGCTCACGCCTGTAATCCTGGCACTTTGGGAGGTCGAGGCAGATGGATCACAAGATCAGGAGATCGAGACCATCCTGGCTAACACGGTGAAACCCCATCTCTACTAAAAATACAAAAAAATTAGCCAGGCATGGTGGCGGACGCCTGTAGTCCCAGCTACTCGGGAGGCTGAGGCAGGAGAATGGCATGAACCCAGGAGGTGGAGCTTGCAGTGAGCCGAGATTGCACCACTGCACTCCAGACTGGGCAACAGAGCCAGACTCCGTCTCAATTTAAAACAAAAAATTAATTAATTAATTAATTAAAATTTAAAATTCAGTTCCTCAGTCACACTAGCCACTCTTTTTTTTGAGATGGAGTCTCACTGTGTCACCCAGGCTGGAGAGCAATGGCATGATCTCGGCTTCTGGGTTTAAGTGATTCTCCTGCCTCAGCCTCCCGAGTAGCTGGGATTACAGGTACCCACCACCACGCCCAGCTAATTTTTGTAGTTTTAGTAGAGATGGGGTTTCGCCATGTTGGCCAGGCTGGTCTCGAACTCCTGACCTCACGTGATCTGCCCACCTTGGCCTCCCAAAGTGCTGGGATTACAGGCATGAGCCACTGACACCAGCCACATTTTAAGTGCTCAGTAGTTATATGTGGCTCGTGACTATTGTATTTGGACAACGCAGATATGGAAAATTCCATCATTGCAGAAAATTCTATTGAATAACACTGCTTTAAACCATAATGCCTCTTTTAGATATGTTGAGGCATGTCCTCAAAATATATTGCAGTTCTGTTACAAGTAATATGGATTTTAAATTTTACAGTAAAATCTCATTCATTTGAAGTCCCTTCATTTGCATAGCACCAAGTTAACTTTGATCTGCAAATTAATAATATAGATAAGAGTTAAGAAGATGGTTAAATGCACTTCAGAGACCAAAGATTTTTAAGCACCATCAAATAACTCCAGAAGCACTCACTTAGATGCAAGCAATTGATATGATAATTACACATCATTTTTATTTATTCATTAAAACAGGGATCCCCTAAGGTGCCCTTGTAGGAAATAATGTGGTTAGCCTTGTTATTTCTAGCAACCCTTCTGCTGTTTCGAAATTCTATGTGAAATCATTTTATACTACTGGTTTACCTTCCTCCTTGCCTTTGGATCACAAAGTAAAATGGTAGCATAAAACACTTTCACACTGAAATTTTGACTGGTTCAAGATCTAATTCCAAAGCCCTCACTTCTTCCACTATATTACGTGATTCCCTGGGAAAGGTACTCCTGTGGGCCCTGCGTGGTGCCTGGTATGTAGTAAGGGTTCAATAAATATCTGTTGATTGACTGACAGAGACAGTTCTTTCAAGAGACCAGTCATTGAAGTGGACTCCGATTTTCTACAGTGAATACATGTATCAAATGGAAAACTGCCTCCCAGTTTGTTCTTTCCTCTTTACCAGTCTTTGCTGCCAAGACTTCATGGTGAGATAAGGGCTTCCTGTCTGTGAGAAAGAGATGATTCCCAGGCATTCAGCTTGGGGGAGGGGGAGTGTGATCTGGCCAGAGGCTTTGGAAATGAAATCTTCCAGCTCCTTCAGAAGTGAGAACAGGGTGGCAAACATGCTGCCTTCCCAGGCACCAGTCATCAGTTAGCTCCATCAGTCTTCAAATATGTGGGGCACATGTTCCAGGTCCCATGCTGGTTCTAGGTAATAAATAGGTGAGAAGAGAGAATGTTGAGTTGTTAGAGGAGAACGGTACTTGCATTTCCATAATATCCTTAGTGGAGGTGGTTTCTTACAGCTTGCTGGGACTGGTCATAGCAAACATTAATGCCATGTCTTTTTAGCAAAAATAAAATCCAATTCCTCAATTTAGCAGTGAGCATCAAAGGATATGGTTTGTCCCTTCCTTGTTTTCTTTAAGGAAAATTTTTAGCCATAGTAAGGAAAGAAAAATTAATAGAAACAATGTAAATGTTCATTAAATATTTAGTCCTTATTTGGAAGGAATTGAACAACTTAAAACTCTCCAAATTTATGAAGCTTAGATATCTGAACATTTTTTAAAAACCACTTAAAGGGAAAGGAGATATTATATTTTTACCTTTTTTTCTTTTGAAATA